TCTTAATACCTACACTGCCAACTAGCTCCGTTTCGTTACACAAAACAAGGTCTAGGATGGCCAGTCCCCTAGTTGGTTCCTTGGCATGCTGCTCTAGAAAGTTCTCTCTCATACACTCAATGAACTCTTCTTCTGACCTACTTTTGCCGATTTGGTTTTCCCAATCTATGTGGAGATTGAAATCACCCACTATTATCGCTTTACCTTTCCTACATGCTCCACTGATTTCTTGATTAATACCCTGTGCTATATTGCGATTGCTGTTTGGGGGTCTATAAACCACTCCCATTAATATTTTCTGCCCTTTATTATTTTTTATTTCCACCCATATTGTCTCGACCTCCTGGTCATCGGATTTCAGATCCTTCCTCTCCACTGCTTTTATTTTATCCCTAATTAACAAGGCTACCTCCCCACCTCTTTTCCCACAGTGCCTATCTTTCCTGTAAACTGAACACCCTGGAATATTTAACTCCCACCCTAGATCTCCTTGTAATCATGTTTCAGTGATGGATGGCTACTAGATCGTACCTATATGCTTCGCGCATTCAGATATAACATTTTTAGTTTCCTACCATTTCCCCTATTCTCTGATTCCTTATCTGCTTTGCCAAACTTCTTACCCCTAGTTAACATATTCCTATTATCTGGCATGCTATTCTACACTGTCATCTTTACTTTTTCTAATGCTAACTTATGGTTTCTCTTACCTATATATTCCCCCCCTTTTACTAATTTAAATTCCTATTTATTTCCCTGTTAATTCGTTTAGCTAGGACATTTGTCCCAGCTCAATTTAAATGCAGCCCTTTTCTCCGAAAGAGCTCTCTTTTCCCCCAATATTCGTGCCAATGGCCCATAAAAAGAAACCCCTGAGTTCCGCACCACTCTTTTAGACATGCGTTCAAGTCCTTAATTTGTTTGTTCCTGTACCAATTGTCGTACGGTACAGGCAGTCGAACCAATATCACCACCTTCGATGATCTTGACTTCAATTTGGATCCCAGCTCTTCAAATTCCTTTCTCAAGTCATCTTGGCCAACTCTACTGATGTCATTGGTACCTATGTGAAGTACCACCAACGGATCCTTGCCCTCATATTTTAAATTGTCCTCTAGCCCTGCCGAGACATCCTTCACCCCGGCCCCAGGGAGGCAACAAAGCCTTCTGGTCTTCTGGTTGGTGTTGCAGATGATTGTGTCTGTCTGCCTAACAGTCTCATCCCCAATGATGACAACCATCCGCTCTTTTGCCCCAGTGTTAGAGGTATAACTTTGATATGAATAACCATGCTTATCTTTTATTAAATTTTATTACTTAAAAGGAATTTTTTGTCAGTTTATACTTCACCGCAAGGTCACAAATTTATTCAAACTTTACATAGTTTTAGAATCAGAGCTGGGAGGTCCAGACCGGAGATTAGGGAAATGTCTTCCCACAGAGGGTGGTATTAGTGTGGAATTCTCTGCCACTGTCAGTTGTTAGAGCAGCAACCAAATTCAAGAAAGGTTTGGACAAATGGTTAAGATACAATAAAGTTAAGGGATGTAGGAAAAGCTGGGATATTGGACTAGGGATAGAATAGAAGCATAGAACCACAACAAATGCTAGATGAAATGCTAAATGAAAAAGGACCAAGGTCCATCTAGTTTGCCTTCCACCTTCCTGACAGTTACATGCATATATTGCCCAAGCTACCTATGTACTTTTTCCTATAATGTTATTTCCTAAAAGAAAACTATCTAATCTGTGTTTGAAAGAATCAACACTTCCTGCTTCAACCATTTCCCTAGGTTCACTATTCGCTCACTGAAATAGTGTTTGTGTAGACTTGTTCTGAATTTAGCCCCATTCAACCACAGGCCAAATCCTCTGGTTTTACTATTTTGGACAAGTTGAAAAAACCTGTCATGATTTATATTGTCTTGCTCCTTTAGAATCTTAAAGAAAGCAATCATGTCGCCTCTCAATCTTCTCTTTTCCAGCGTGAACATGCCCAATTTACTTAGTCGCTCCTCCTTCTATTCCCTCAATCATTATGGTTGCCCTTCTCTGTATCTTCTCAATTTCTTCAATATCCATTTTGTACTAGGGCGACCAGAACTTTACCCAAATAAGTATGATCTCACCAATGGCAGTGGCAGGATTACCCACACTATTTCAGCTTGCAATTGATCTTTTGATACATCCCAACATCTGGTTTGCTTTACTCACTGCCATAGATCATTGTGGGGAGAGCTTCAATTTATTGTCAATCAGGACCGCCAGGTACTTTTCATTTTCCATACAGCAACAACAAAAGGCCACAACTCTCCTCAGGTCTTCAGGGAAGCCTTAAGAAGACACAGAAAAAAAGCACACACACACACCAAACCTTTTTTTTTGTAGAGTCCTGTAACATAGTGTTTAGCGTGCTCGCCTCGCAAGCGAGAGAATCCGGATTTGATTCCCAGGTGGGCAGGGCAAAACCATAGGCAAGTTTCCTTCTCCACATGTCTCTGTTTACCTAGCAGTATGTAAGAAACCGTTTTTTAGTCAATTGGCGGATCGCTTTTTTAGGGATAATAATCCCTGCATAAAAATAAAAATAATAATAGTAATCCACGATTGTTTGTGGGACTCTGCTTTGCACAGCTGGCTGCCACGTTTCATCCACAAAATATACAGTCACTTCTCTTTACAATATATTCTGTGAAGCGCTTTGAGATGTCTCAATGATGTGATAAGGTGCTCTATTAAATGCAAGAATTATTGTTAATCTATGAATATCAAATATAAGGATGTTTAATCCTCTGTGGTGAAGTCGGTAGTCCGATTCTGTGCTAGGCGGGTGCGCAGTACTCCAAGGCACTTCTGATGGCAGACTAACCAGACTGCGCACTGGAGGTAGAGAGTCTTCACTTAGTTGCTGGTAATCCTGCAAACCAAAGCCCTACTGGACCAGATGATCCTAGATGGACAAGCAGAGAGATGCTTGCCAGACGGTTCTTTCAATGGAAGTAATTTTAGCTGGTTAAACGCCAGCAGTAACCCAAAGCGCAGTCCGGGGTCTCCAAACCTGGTGTCTTACCAGCCTATGATGGTTTCTGTGTCAGGCTGACCCCAGAAAACATAAGCTGCTGAGTGGTGGGCAGCAGCCAAAGCCACACATCTGAGGAGGGGGTGTGGGCAGGTAGGAGGAGTCAAGTAACAGAGAAGGTCCTGGGAGGAGGTAGACTTCAGGTTAGAAGAAGAATGGTCTTAGAAAATGTATTGTACTTTAAAAGCACCATATTTTACGTGAACCCTATTCTCAGCTGGGAAGCTATATTTAGCCTGGGGAGAGGAAAGCCTTAAGACTCATCATCATCATCTGGTTCCTGATCACACTACCCATTATCATACCTCAGATCACTATTCAGTGACCTGGAAAGTGAATGAGTGTATGCTTCAAAGAAGACAGGACCAGATTTGACTATGATGTCCCTATGATTGAGTAGCCCATTGTAATTAACTGTCTCAGCTCATATATGAAGAGTGGTTAGTTGGACAGGCTGCTGGTAGTCAGAGCTTCCTCTGCCTCCTGTGTCCTCCTGGGCTTTCAACGCAGGTGATTATGCCATCCTCTTCTGCCTCTTCAGCCTCATCCACCTTATTAGGAGCACGCTCTCCTGGTTCGAATCCTACTTAACCCACCGCCATCACTCCTCCATTTCTCCTCCCACCTCTGCACTGTCATGTATGGCGTACCCTAAGGTTCTAGCCTGGCATCTGTCTTTTCCTCATTTACATGCTTCCACTTTGTGATGATATCTGCAAACATGGGGTCAACTTCCACCTGTATTCGAATGATATCCAAATCTATTTTTCATGCTCCAGCCATGATCTCAGGTCTACCCATGTTCTGTTTGCTTCCTTGTTAGACATCAAAGCCTAGTGATGGCCAACTTTTGTTAGCTGAATGTTGCAAGGAAGCCTTACTTCTTGGCTCCCATCAACATTTTCTCACCTGCAGCTTTGACCTCCTTAACCTCACTGGCCTATCCCTCAGACCTATTGAACCTCTGCGCGACCTAGGCATCAGGTCTGATCCTGTCCTTCCTACCCCACATCTGGTCCCTGAACTGGAACACTTTCCTCCACCTCTGCCACATTGCCCACCCCTGACTGTACCTCAGACCTAATGCCGCTCAAACCTTATCCACACATCCATCACCTCCCTCCTTGAATTTTTTCCGATACCTTCCTCACCAATCTCCCCAGTTCTTCCATTCATAAAATCCAATTAATTCAAAATTCCACTGCCTGTATCCCCACCAATACTAATCTCTGCAGCCCCATCACCCCAGTCCTTGCTAGACTCCATTCCCTATTGCAGAACGGATCAATTTCAAGGTATTCACACTCACATTCAAGTCACTTCATGCGCTGGCCCCTCCCTACCTCTACAAGCTGCTTACATGCTCTACTTGCCCTCTTTGCTTATCCAGCTCCATCCTTCTGCATGTCATTCATTCCCTCTGCTTCACCACCAGCGGCCATGCTTTCAGTCATTCCTCCCTGAGACTCTTGAACTCTCTGCCTCAATCCCCCTGCCTAGTCCCCTCCTTGTCCGTCCATATCACACATGAAGATTTGCCTTTTCGACCACGCTTAAGGTCACCGCCGCTTTCTCCCTGGCTCAGGTTCAAGCTCTGCCACTGTTAAGTACTCTGAGACCTTACCTTAGAAGGAAGGGATTAAATAAATACAAGTAGTTGTTGTTGTTCACCTGTACCCCACCAAGTATTAGATGTGTTATCCATTCATTCTGCAAATGGATATCCTTTTCTCTGTTCTGTGGCATATCAGGCCGAAAGCGGCCAACAGTTTTGTCTTTTCCCCGAAAGGAAAAGAACAGTGAAAGAACAGCACAACATGACAAGCGGAAATCAAATTGAGCTTTATAGAAAGGAATCGATTTTTACATGCCGTGATTTAAATCACACAAATTTCTTAAGAATAACTTTTAATTCCATCTAACATGTTTTTGACTGCATTAAGATATATGAAGATCCCCTGCTCAATTTTTCTGGAAGTAAAGGACACAAGAGATGAGGCTTAAATGATCTGATTTTTGCACATGCATGAAGCACGGCAATGTGTTTTGACAAACTCGTTGCAACCAAATAGATTCTTCAAAGCTGGACAGTGGACGTACGCGTCCTGCTCTGGACAGGTGTTGGCTGTAAAGAAAAAAGATGATTTAATAAGTTCTATGCCGTCAAAATAGCAGTATCCCTAAATGCATTCGTTCCTTAATCATCACAAGAGAGAACAAACTGAAAATGACAGGTTTGGCAACGGCTGTTTGTGGGATGTTGTGTGCAAATTGGCTGTTATATTTGCCTACAAAATACATAGTGAAAACTATACTTTACAATATACAGTATCATGAGATGCGCTTTTTCATTCCTCCTGACATGGAAGGCACTATATTAAATGCAAGGATTATTATTAGCAATGGGTGTGTTATACCACTCACTTTAACACTTGGAATATACAGTTTACTGCTCCAGGCTTTTCAGAATTAACGTATTTTCATTATTTTTAGGCCAAAATCTGGCAAAGTTTGCTGCAACGACCAGAACTCCTACTATGGACTGACTAGAGTACTTGAGCTTATCGCCTGATGATCTTAACTAAACTGATTTAGCAATATAACCCAGCATCCGGCTTTGCTTGTTTATTTCAGCCTCACAATGTTTTGATTTAGTGAGTGACAAGTCAACTAGGGAAGGTAGGATTAGGGGAGATTGGACATGTTGGGAAGTTAGGATTAGGGGAGATTGTGGTACTCAGTCTATGCTGGGCTCACTGGGCTGAATGGCATTCTCCAGTCGTGACGCTCAATCTCCCCAGTTCTTCCATTCATAAAATCCAATGAATTAAATTCTGATCGCAGGGTTTAAGATAGTAAAGGTAATTTAATGATTGGATAACAAGAGATTCTTTCCTAAACTTACAGAACCCCAGAATAAGAAGGTCTAATCTACAAAATGACAGCTACACCTGATAGTCGAGAAATCAGAAAATATTTCAAAGTTATGGGAATTGTGGAATTTACTTCCTCAAACCACTGTTGATGTAGAGTTAGTGGAAATGTTTAAGAGGGAGATAGAGAAACACTTGGCTAGTAAGTGTATCAAATGTACACAGGGAAATTAAATTGAGTCACAGATAAGCCTTCATATAACGAAACTGCAGAGCAGACTCAACAGGCCAAATGTCTACTTCTATTCCTATTCATTTCATTTCTAAGTTTCATTCCTATTACTAATTACCCACAACATTCACAATAAAACAATAAAAGTAATGATTTTAATAGAATAAAATTAAAACCCACTGTTGAATGAAAACCAATAATATATTTCTTACTGCAAAGGCCATTATCGCAAGAATCGGGGCAGTCACCGCAAGGTTGTCCAGCTTTATAGGGAGTTGCTACAGAGTACATTTCCTCTGCAATATGAAAAGAAATTAAATTGAATAAATCTCATGTTTACTTTTTTGCTAAAGAATTATCAATATTATTGTAATACAGAGTTACTTACGGTGGAATATAGTGACACACGTAAAAGTATTTGTACAGTTCTTCAGGACATGTTGCAACAGCGCACCCAATCTGATAGGATTATACCACACCAACTATTAAGACAGAAAATGGCATTGTTGTCAAAAGTTTTATTCTACTTCTGTTAGAACCATGGAAATTTAAGGTACAGAAGAATGTTAATCGGCCACAATATATGTGCAGGCTCCTTTAAGAGCAATCATTTCAGTCTCATTTTCCAGCCCTTTCCCCATATCCCTGTAGCTGACTCATTTTAAGGTATATATCTAGTTCCCTTTTGAAAGTCAATATGGATTTTGCCTAAATCACAACTCCTGGCGGGAACATTCCATATCCAAATTATTCAGTTTGAAAACATTCTCCTAAATTCTCCATTTGCTCGTTTACTAACTATCTTAAATTGATGCCCTCTCATCACTGACTCACCAAAATTATTTTTTTCTCCTTTGTGATCAACCGCCACATTGCCCATTGGATTACAGTCCTACTGGAACATGGCATTTGAGTGCCAATTAGCAAGACACTGTCATTCCTCTGATTTTGTTGTTCAGTTCAGTCTGTATCCTGCATATTGGCAGTCCAATGCCACCATCTGTGGAGTGGAAGGCCAATGACTGGTGCAGGTGGTTTCAGCCAAACCATTGTAACAGAGTAAGGAAGGGTGGGGGGATGGGAGGAAGTCACATTGGAAAGGAAGACCAGTCAATAAATGAACACAACTTTTACATTATCAGCCTTACCTGCGTATAATGGCGCACGACTGAAGTGCCTTTTGCTCCAGAACCATACACAAAGTCTGTTACTTCGTCATACCAGCTCTGCATTGCATTTTCCCATGGACGAGGATTGGTCGACATATAGAGGTTCTCTCCATATTTCAAAGCTTGAGAAAAGAATTATCCCATTAAATTAATAATTTTGATGGAGAAAAAAATGAAGAGGACATTACCATTCTACGAAGATTTAAATTTTTTTGCTTAAAAAACATGGTTCACAAAATGTTTCAATTAAAATGATTTCCTTAAGGTTCCTAACCCATTGTTTCAACATTGACAATAAATCATTTGTAGCATAAAACCTTGCATAACCTTTGCTATAGCATTGGCTCATTTGGTAGCACTCTCACCTCTGAGACAGAAGGTTGTGGGTTCAAGCCCCTTCTTCATCAAACCTCAATTATGATCTTGTGAACCCAGTTAATATTGTTACATTTGGTTTGTTATGTGTTTGCTTAATTACACTAACAGACAAAAATCTAATGCAGTGCATCTGTCATGTATGTATTTTCGATATCGTATGAGGCCCAGTCTGCTCAGTTAGTAACACTCTCGCCTCTGAGTCAGTAGCTTTCAGGTTGAAACTCCAAATCGGGACTTTGAACTCATAGTCTAGGAAAGGATGCCACTTCAATGCATTGCTAGGAGTAGTTCTGCAATGATGGAGGTACAATCGTTCAGGTGAGATGTTAAATCAAGGATCCATTTGGCAGTTTAATAAAATACAATTTACATTTATATTACCCCTTTTACGTTGGAAGGAAATCTCAACACCCTTATTCAGTGGATGTTTAAGATGGTCTTATTTGAAAAAGGAAGCATCTGGCCAGCAGTCGCCCAGAGAGAAAAAAAAATGGTCATTCACTTCATAGCCTTAAGATACTGCTGTGAGTCAATTAGCTGCCATATTTGCCTACAAATACATAGTGACTACCCTTATTGTGAAGTGCTTTGAGATGTCTTCATGAGCTAAAGTGGTAAATCAAAAGCAAGGTTTATTATATTATTGCCACTTGAAACAAATGTTACAAAAAGTGAGTTACTTACGGTTGGCAATCATGCTGCCAATCTTATTGTGATTCAGTGTACACGAATTCGCCTTTTCTTGAGCATTCTTCCTCGCGACTTCACTCCATTCCTGAAACGGAATCAGTCACTCACTACAGACTATAATGGCTGGCCTGAAGGTTCTTTTAAAAAATACATTTAGCTGAGTTATTAATTTTACTCGGTATTGGGGGCATGGTTTTTCCTGTTGGCAGTGTTTAAATTTGACTTTTGAAATTAAATTTGAAGCCAGTATCCGGTGAAGCAATGTTAATTGCCATTTTTAGGAGATGGGAAAATAGTCTTGGCAATACTCTCTGAAACAAAATACTATTGTGAGCCTGTGAACTTAGAGTCATGACATGGGTGGAACCCACTATCTTCTGATTCAAACTGAGAGTGTTACCAGCTGAGCCAGGATGAGCACTTCACCAGATGCTAAGTTAATTTTACAAGTGAAAATTAAAGGTTAAAATTGTTGCCCAGTGGCCAGATCTTGCAACCTGAGATCCTCAGCACTTTCATTACTGTGAAGCACTTTGAGATATCCTGCGGCATGAAAGGCCCAATACCAAATGCAAGGATTGTTATTATACATATGTGGAAGGGTACATTACTTTACTACTAATAACTCTTACCATTCTCAGCATGTTGCTGGCAAATGGCTTCACACCTCGACGCAGCTTGTTGTGAACGTCGACAACCAATTTCTGCACATCAGAGTCTGAGGTGGAGAGCTCTTCAAAGGTGATCACTGGTCATCAAGAAAATAATCCATCAGAACCAAATCATTGCACATTTACAAAATTAAACCCGTCAACACGACTGTAATTGTGACAATAGTTGCATTAGATTCGTGCTAATTCAAACAAGAATGTCCAATGTACAAGGCAGATAATAGTGGAAATACCAGGCAGCTAATATAATAGAATACTAATATTCTTGGTACAAGATTTACCATGTGTTAACATGAGGGATTGGCATGTGTGGGCACCTCAGCATCCCTAACAGCGACTGACAAGCCTCTAACAATCCTGCGGGTGGGAGCAGGAGGGTACCTCAGTGTCCTTAACACTTAGTTCTTCAGAGATTGGGAACAGATCAGTTAAAAGATTCATACCCCTCCCACCCCCACTCCCTCACCCATCCACATTCCCCGGTTAATCACTTAGTTCTTCAGCAGGGAGGAGATGTTGATGGATAGTCTCCTGTTTGGTGGAGGGTTAGGGTTCCTGATAGCAGATACACTTAACATCAGCCAGTACCCTAGTGAAACACCGAGTGTGACGCCCTGTTACATCAATCATGTAAATGATAAGAAATATTCATGTAGAAACCTAGTTCTAATTGAACATTTGGAAAATACATAACACAATAAAATATGTTGGAAAAGATTCACTTAAACTATTGTTTTGACATAAAATACTAAACAATTAGCATAATCACAATTTATTTTTGCAACTAATTCATTGGCTGCCATGTCCCTCTGCAAAGTATAGTCACTGCATTTTACAGTAAGTCCTGTGAAGTGCTTTGTGACGTCCTACCTAAGTGATAGGCACTAAAACAAATCCAAGGATTACTATTGTTATAAATCTTCAAAATTGATATTTTTCTAGTGTCAAGAACAAAAGGCACTGGAAAAATATTTAGATTTGATTTATATTTCTTGCCAATCAATTTTTTAAATCAGAGCAAGAAAACACTCATAATTTTGTTAATTTCGCAATTTCAGCACTGAAAAGAGGTGTCAGTATTTGTAACAATTGTTTATTTTAATAATGCTCAACATTTGGCTGTAGAGAGAAACATACACTCAGCTCAAAAGAGCACCGCACTGTGACTTAGACCTGATCAAGCTCTACAAGTGGAAGTTGCATCACTGGATTAATTTAAAAAGCAACTTGAAACTGGAATTTGGGTGGGTATTTTAGGAAGATGAGATTAAATAGGGCCTTCCTTTTCTAGGCATTATTGTAGGTCTTTTGTTTGTGAGATTACTGGTGTAATTTATCTTTTATTGTGTACTAGATTATTAATTTGTGGTGGCAATGACTATTGTGGTATTGCTGCTTGTCCTTTATTTTCCATCTTTGCACATAACAATCTTAGTTTTGAATTCCTGTATTATTTAACACAAAGAAATATTGCAAAGACTAGAAATGGCCATAGGTTAAGACGCCTGTGTGTTCTTACCTTCCTAAAGGTCCAGTGTCCCGTAGGATGAAGAAAAAGAGAAACAAATAATAACATTAGCAAATGTAGTATAAAGAACATTGGTTATATTATCAGTTCAATCCCAATAGGCTTTTACCAATGTGCAGGCTGATCTCACCACGCTGATCTGAAACTGCTATTTAAAGGAGATTGTCTGTGAAATGTATCAGGTCAAGTCTACTGGACATGTGGAGTGGATAAAAATTCTAAACCTGATGTTTGGGCTTAACTACTGTTATTGCTTAAAAATGGCCAGTTGAGTAAGGTACTGGAGGGCTGTTGGTGTGTATATCCCAGCACGATTCCAAACCTACAGAAGAGGAGTGGAATTGTTTTTAAAAAATGACAGACACACTCCTGCTATGACTAATTTCTACAGTGAAAAGCTAGGATTACAGACTGGGAGTGTCAACCACATTCAACCACTGTGAGACAGGAATCACTGTGGTTATCGTTCTCAGTCTTTTGGCTAAGATTAAATGTAGTTTTAATTATATTCAGTTACACAAATTGAGACCACATGGTTGTGGCACCATTGTTGACTCGGAACTGATGCTTAAACCACCTTCTGATCTTTGGCAGCAGAGAGGTTGGTTTGAGGGGCCAATTACGCTAATGGTCTTGTGGCTCTTGACTAATAAGAACTATGTAACCAGGATATTTATGTAATTGGACTAATATAGAATAGAAAGGATGTTCCCCTCAATATTATGTGCAATATTTCTTTGTGTTAGCCACACATCAGGGGCTACAGGTAGCCATCTGTGTCAGGGAGGGCAAAAATAGCCAGGATTCCTGCTCCTCAACACTGTTCAGTAACTCCCATTGGAAGTCTATATTCCAGTGAATGCTGGATCAGGGCTGGATTGGGTTTGGCTGAATCTCCTACCTCCAGTCAAATAGCATGTTGTTGCTCACTACTAAAGCTCACAGATGAAGAAATGGCCACTTGGGCAAGTCACCAGAGGATAAACAATGACAACAGAACTGTACCCTCAGCAGAAGGAAAATAAGTCAATTGCTTCAGGAAGGGTGAATTGATGAGGAAAAAATTGACATTTTTAATGTAATTTTTAGTGACTTTTTTAAAAAAAATCACTTTCACAGAAAAACATTTTTTAAAAAGGCCATCGGGGATTAAATGGACAGCTCAAGAGTTCTTCACAGAGCTCTGAGAAGTCAGTCATGATTGTAATTGAGTTTGAAATTGTATTGCGACTGAAAAACCTACTGCAGATAGTGTGAGAAATGGGTTCTAATACAATTCAGGCTGGCTTAATGTCCATTTATATAATACATATTGGTGTGAATTGCATCCACATAAGGATAATTCAACACCAAACATACAGTAAAGCACTGCACACTCAAAATAGGATCAGATATCAACAACAGGATATAATAAAATTAACAGGCTACATTTACTATTCGAAAATGACTAATATTTATTATTACTAATATTTACCATTAGAAAGCTATGATAGCTTAAGTTTTAAATCTAACATTTTAATGTTTAAACTATTTATATGGTATCTGTATCTTAATGTAACTTGATATGCCAAGGCTTTACAGGTGGCACTTACGTTTGCATTAGAGCAATGGAGTAAGGTGACCAGGAACACAGACACAGTCAACAGCAACATCTCTTTGATGGTTCTGTGAGGAAGCAACACATGAAGGAACAAATTATATATTGAAAAGACTTTAAATAGCAAATGCGAGACCCAGAATATAGATGATGAAATGAGATACAGAACAGTTTCAAAATGGAAAACAATGAATAGTAAAAATTTACTTCAGTAGACATTACTGAAATAGAATATATTATGTGAGACTAAACAAGTGTCTACATGAATATTATCTAAGACCCTTCAAGAAAAAGTAATGAAATCATGAAATAAATTATTTAGGAATAAACAGTATCTTTTGGGTAAGGTTCATTTCTATAGAATTCACACACAATTAAAATTCACCAACATCACAAAATAAAATGTATTCTCGATTAGGAACACTAACTCAGGCTGACAGCAAACCATTGGTTCCGAGTCTTGTTTGGTTGTGAAGTTGTACCTGAAACTGCTATTTAAATAATTTTCCAACCCACAGTTGTCTGTGGGATTATTTTACTCTGCCAATCAAACGAATCAGCAAAAACAATATTGCCATTGTAATTATGCAATTATTGCTTCGTTGCATCACAGCCCCTTATTAACTTTAATTTATACTTGTATCAGTGTGGCTCAAAGTACTTGGTTGCACTCATAATTTTGGGGTGAAAGATTGTGAGGCAGCCCCAGCATCAGGACTTGAACTATACTTGAACTGTGGAATGACAAGTTAAATATCAGGCTGCTGAGGTAAATGTTAAAGATCCCATAACACTATTCAAAATGAATCAAGGTCTTTCTCCCAGTGTCCTGGCGAACAATTTTCCAGATTAACTTATCATTTATCTCATGTTTCTGGTTCCTCACTGGCCCAAGTAGCCTGCCAACTCCCCACTGAATTTGGTAGTAATTACTTACTTGTGAAGCAACTTGATCTGATAGTGAGTCTAAACAGACTATAGAGAATTCCTTTCTTTCAAATTATATTTATGGTGCTATTTACATTAATCTTATGAATTCAGAAGTATAAGTATTCAGAAACTACAAGTCTGAAATATAAGATGACGGGTCAAGCCTGAATAAACTAATTTTGCTTTTGGAGAATTTATTGACCTTTGGATTTTCAATATTTCTGTCAATTAAACCGACAGCCAATTCCAATTTGAAATTCTGGAAATTTAGATTAACAGCATACTAAATGCGTAGAAATCAGCTACATGACCCTTGCAAGTGTTTAGCGCATTATTGTTTTACAATACAATTTACATTTATATACCTAATTCGCATGGGGAGGATGACTCAAAGCACTTGACATTGCTGGCTGGGCAGCTGACCTATGGGTGGCAGCTGAACGGGGTGGGGAAGGGAAAGTTGATTGAAAGAATAGTCAATGCAGCATGTTTTGAGATATACCTTAAAAGCGGGGAAGGAGGGAATTGGAAGAACTCTTCATAGAGCTCCATGGAGCAAGGGAAGAATGGCTGAAAACTCGTCTGCCGATGGTGGAGCAGATTGGGTGAGAGTCATGAAGCAGGCCAGTGTTCCTGAGCTAAAGGAGCATTCCCAATGTGAAATGTGCAATATAAATGTAAATTGTATTGTGCATGGTACAAAAAGGATCTTCTGAGTTTTGAGCATATCGACCACATCCAATTCAGTGACTAGAATATTTGTCCAATGAGTGACATGCTGTGCCTTGGTCATATAAAAAAGCAGTACACCCATAGTCATCCTTTTTTTCAGCCAGGTGTCTGGCATATGTGGAAACCCATCACCATGCTTAAGAATATCCAAACCAAACCCAGAGATAGATTAGAAAGCCCAGAGATAGTTGCTGGAATGGAATGCACACTCTCTCCCTGAAGGGATGATCCATATTGTCAGCCCTGGCTCAGTTGGTCGGGCTCTCGCCTCAGAGTTAGAAAGTTATGGG